ATTAATCATTTGCTATCATAATTATAATACAATAATTGTTGGAAGACACTTGTCAAGTAAATATTTGTTTGTTTTTCTTCTACCCTTATTTTACCACAGTTGTGCAACGCGCTCTAATTATCAGAGCCAATCATGCGACTTTCCCGTGCTTGCTCCCGAATAAATGCCTTCCTGCGTTTGCCACCGGTTTCATGTTTCCTGCGCTTTTGTTCAGGTACGCCTTTTCCTGCGCTTTTCTCCAGGTTACATGTTTTCGCACGCTTTTCTCTCGTTTGCATGTCACCCACTTTCGCCGGCGGCTGCTTTTTTCCCATAGTTGCCGCCGGTCACACGCTTCCCAACACTTTGATTTGCTCTGTGATTATTTTAGTTTTTCTCTAATTACTTTGACCAATGACAAACACTTACTTGCATCATCATGCCCCGCTTTGGTGTCTACAACCCTCCCATACTCCACAGAATAAATGTATCTGCAAGAAAAGAAAAATAGTCGAAATCATTTATTCAACTCCAAATTCTGTTGTGCTTGGCCAGATTTTGTCTGCACTCTAGTACCCAGCACCAGCGATCGGGAAACGAGCGACCCTAGAAAGGTCCGGTTGAATTACGCATGCCTAGCTTACAAACATGTGGCTCAATCGAGTCGCTAGTGTTTCACTTCCGCTTATTTTCATTTTCGCTAAACCAATCAAACTCGAGCCTGCAACGGAACTCTCGAGAGTCGCTCGTTTCGTCAAGCTTGCGCAGTAAGGAACGAAAGACTCGAGGAACGAAAGCGGCTTGTCCGAAACTCTGATATACAAACAGTCATAAATTCTAGACGTCATAAATTCTCAACACTCATAATTCTAGACGTCCATCAAAAAGACAAGAATGCAGCACCCTACAAATACACACTGCTTTCTTGGTAACCAGTTGTATTTTATAAAACCAAGTTTACAGCTACTGAAGACGTTTTAGAGCAAGACCATTTACTCAGGGGGAAGCGCTACCAATCTCACTAACAAAACGTACAGATTGCGTACATGGGCGCCACGCAAAGGATCTTAAGTCAGCAGTTTTGAAAATTAACGGTTCCCGAAATAAACGAGCGGGAAGAGAGGAACTTAGGAACAGTACTCACATTTTGTTGTCCCAAGATCCAACTATGATCGTTTTTGAGTCCGGCATAATGGCACAAGACGAAAGGGCCTGTTGATAGAAAGTATACAATGCACATGATGAAACCGGGGACTTGCTTCCGTGTTCTAGGGGTCTGGTTTTGAAATGATCCCAGCATTAAGCCAGTAGACTGTATTCAGTTTATAAATTAAAGTTAGTCTCCAACGTTTGCCACAACATCAGTAAAACTGTCTTGTTTATACAGAGCATGTTCAGGTTTGCGGGTTGATATAGCGAGGTCGCAAAAAAAAAAAACTCAAATTTGTGCGCTAAAAACTTACCATAGAGGACAGATTGATTCCTCTCACTTGCTGTCTAGTTTCTATCGAGTACATCTTCAGTTGTGTATCTGAGGAACGAGAGAAACAATGTCTTGGAATAAAATACCGTTCTATAGCAACGGCAGCAGCTGCAATGTTTCATTAAGTCATTGTCTGACCATCTAATGTTCACTGATAAATGAATGACGTGGCGTCACGCTGATCACACTTGTTATCGTGACAAGCGAGGTAAATGCAAGACCGCATTGGCATAAACAGTATTTATTGTTTACGCGCCTTATGAGCTTTCAGAACTTTCCCTGCACTTTTGACCGTCTACATGCTCGTGTAAAAGGGCGGGAAAAGGTACGCACGCTTCAAAGATGCCCACGCCGCTTTCCATTCAACCACAACAACCGAAAATTTCGAAATGGGGACAAATGATATAGAAATTTCCCAGGGAAGTTTCCACAAAATACGGACATTGTTGTATTTCCAAAAAGCGATGCATCCAACCGAAAATTCCTGAATAGAGGCCAAGTCACATGGAACGGAAATTCCCAGTAAGAAATTTCCAAAAATTTCAATTTATCTCGCAAGGTTGTCCTCTTTCCGGAAATTCCGGAAAATACTGTTCCATTGGAAATTTTCGGAAATTCGAACAAGAATTTTTTATGGAATGGAAAGTGCCCCTAAGCTAACAAAACTCTCCTATCCGTGGAGAAGGTAACCACACTCCACATATCAAATCACGATGAATTAATTTTTTGTGTACCTGAGTTGGTTCCTAAATTTTTTCGCGTGTGTTAACGCTTCCACACCTTCTTGCCTCAAGTCCTGATTAGCTTGCAAGAATTTTTACCGTCAAGTAATTGTTTCTCT